TCTAACTAGTCGCTCTCACGATGGATGCGGATGGCGGATTGAAGATCGATGATAGCTGCTGGTTCATTTCCGCTATCTGTTGCTGTAGCTCACGGCTAGCTCCGAGGAATTTAGTACATACCGTTATCGCTCCTTATCTCTAAAGGGGATCCACGCCGTACCAGGAACCTACGAATAGCCATCTTGCATGTTTCCGCGGACAGGGAGTGCACTACCTCCAGATGGACTGCTCGAATGGTAAGGCACGTAAACAGTGCAACCCATCGTTTGACTAGCGATCGTCCGAATTTGACCATGATGGTCTAAGAGATTTGGACTTGGAGATTTGGACTGAAGGTTCAGGACCAGATGGAATTCCTATTTTTTTTAAAACTTAGCAACTGAACTCACAACCCCTTTATTATGGCTATTAATATTGCACTTGAATCCGGTATATTCCCGAAGGAATGAAAAAAATCCTACTCAATACCCATTTAAAAATCTGGTAACAAATCCGATACTCGAAAATATCGTGGGATTGCTATCATTTCGTGCATTACAAAATTGAAGAGTTTTCAAATATAAATAAAAACGTTTTTGGCCAAATAAAACAAAGAATAACTAGTGCACAACATGGCTTTGTTAAAGGCCACCAACACAAACCATTTCGAATTTGTGTTTCCTGAATAAACTGTATCTCGCGAACCTGGCCATATAGAAAGTTTCTGTCTTGAGCAAAGTTCTTCAGGTGACCAATTTCTTTCGGATGGTGGTCATAGTAGTTTAAACTCTCTCACTACGCAGCATTAGTGTGCACATGACCTTCCTAGTATGAAGGTGGGTGTTGGAAACAGGAGAATGACATGGATATGGGGTGGTGCAGAAGTGGGAGGGAGGTGGAAATGGGCTTAGGTCATGGGGGAAGCTACTGGGTCAAACTGAAGAGGTGGTGCTCTTCTACTTCAGCAATTGCGCAAGATTGTTCGATAGTTTGATACGAGTCAAGTAAGGAAGTTAAAAGAGTTCCGAACAAATACCGCCAATACCGCCAAATACGAAGTCAGGACCCAGTAAATACGGGCTAAAAAGACATTTCGTTCCGGCCACGCAAAAAACGTTGGTCGAAAAGTGCGAGGGCGGACGCTATACCGCCATATTGCACCCGTTTAGCAAGCGTCGAGCGGCAAGCTACCGACGACCGCTTTAAACCAACAACAGGTGAACAGCAAGTCCACCGTCGAACAGCCGATCGAGCCCCGCACACTGTGACAACCGTCGAGCCCCGTCATCCTCCGGGAACGTACCGTTCAGCTGCCGCCGAGAAACCCCACCAGCTGTAAAATCTTGTCATCGCTGGCCAACAGTACAGACACCGATACCGTAATAAAATAGTTAAAAGTGAAAGTGTGTTTTTTGGGCTTTGGATCAGTAGTGACAAGCCAGGATCCGACCTTGAAGCTCTAGGGCTTCGAACTCGAGCTATCGAACAAAAGAGGCGAGTGTTGGTGTAAGGGGAATTCCTTTGAACTAGCCCATCGGGCTAGCCATTAACAAAATAGGAAGCGATAACGATATTAATGTGTTTCAGAATAAAATACATGTTTTTTACACATGGTGCAGTCAAAACTTATTTCATTTTCATTTTGCAGCGTTTAGTGGGGCAATGGGAGCGCAGGTCAATCCAAAGCCGAGGATAAAGGAAGGGTAATGGCTGAATAGTCTGCGCGACCACTTGAACGCCATGGGAAAAGCAAGGGTCCTTCAATAGAGATCGGTTATTGGGGGGTTTTGAGGAAATGACACATAGCACTAGATTTGTGCTGCAAAATGTAAAGAAACCGAAAATCCATCTCCCACAGATTAATCCTTTCACATATATATCAAATTGATATTTTAAAGCAAACAGACAATATATGCAAAGGCTAGTTGCCAGTTGCGTTAAAGTCTAGTTGCCTCCCTAAGCGGACCTCCCGCATCCTAACTTTTGATAATCTACTTAATGCTATTAAACTGTCTAAATTTACTTATTTTAGTTCGTTTGATGATTACGATATCTCATTCGCCTAATTTAATAAATAATTGAAATCTTTAATCAACCTAATCAATTATAACCTATGCTTTGCAAAGTACCTGCACTTGTGCATGTAATCTCAAATTTAGCCAAGATTGGTTAAAAGGCTAACAACGGGACTTACCATTGTTTTTCGACGTTTTGGACGAGAAAGTTCCTTTGTCCCAGTCGGCTCCGGCACTACTGCTGGTTTCACTGCCGCAACCGTTGCGACCGAAGCTCTCGTGCTGTCAAAGCTCGGTACAAACTTCCAGAATCCCTGAAAATAAAAAAAATAAACGTCAGTGTTGAATACTACTAGTTGAATTCCGTTGCACATAGGAAAAAGATATATTCATTTTCAGCTGAATTAAGTTTGTTTGTATTGATATCATCGAACAGTAACTTAAGGTCCTGTATCAATTCCCCGTGTTGTCCAAAAAGGATTATAGCCAGCCCTGATCTGTTAAATTCTGGTTGAATTCGTAGATAGGTTTACCAATATATGGAGGAAATTTGAGGTCTAATTCTTAAAAAAATAACAAAATCTGAGTGGTATGAAAAACGGCCTCTTTTCATAATTTGGATACCTTCCAACAATCGGTCTTCTTACTATAGTTCCCACGTTAATTCATGCTCACTTCTTCCAATCCGGGAACCCCTATGCATTGGACAGACGCACTCCACAACACCAGTAGTAACGTTCAGTATTACCTCCACCGGACGAGGAAGTTCCTTGGGTGGTGTTGGCAGTTGGCGTTTCAGTCCGCTCCGGCTCCACTACTGGTGTCACTGCCGCAACCGTCGCGACCGAAGCTGTCATGCTGGCAAAGCTCGGCAAAAACTCCAGTTATGTCTTCTTGCTTCGATATTCACAAACATTGTGTCAAAAAAGTAGAACCGCTGAAGCCTCAGGCTACTATGTTTTTTTTTTTTCCTTGAAGGCACATCGTAGCCCGTTTTTAAATACTTCTTAATTTCATTTCATTTTCTCGGGACGAGAAGGGGAATGTGTGGGTGGCATCATTCAATAGAGATGGTTTGGACGCACGCATTCATTCGAGTGTGAAAGTGTATCCGAGTGTACCGTGCAATGGGTGATTTCCCGGAGGAGTTTAACTGTTCACACCTCCCATTTTCGCTTCCATGTTGTTACAGGTATCATCAAAAGTGCACTTTTCGTTGCAACATTCGTCAGACTATTTTATACCTCTTACCGTTAGGATGTTTTCCCAAATAAAGAATAATTACCAGGTACCGAGGTAAATCTTACCCGTTAGGTAGAGCACCAGGAAAAAACTGTTTTTCTTGTATTTTTGATTAGTTTTCCCAATTTTTTTCGAAAAATAAAAAACATGCCGAAAAAAATTATATTTGGAGTGGTGAACTTCCCCTTACTGAAAATAATATTTGCATCAGCCAACATAGCTCCAAAAGCTCTTGGAGCGCCTTAAATTGGGCTATTTCATTTTGAGAAACATATCGGTTACTATAAGTCATCTGAAAGAGCTTCGCTTTCCGAGCGCAAAGATTAATATTTAATAAAATAATTAATATTTAAAGCAAAACAATTACTTCACTGTTTGCGTTGCGTTGCATTGGTTTGGTAACGGAGTAATACAAAATAGCCACTTCACTGTTTGACACTAAACTAACAAATTGATAGCTTGCTTCCATACAAAGTACCAATTTAATCACACTTATTTAAAATAATTTCAGTGTTCCAAAATTGATGAAATTTAAGATTTCGGTTCCATTTGACATGTACTACCCATAATCGCATATCAGTTTTATCTTTGCTTGATTTCCTATCCATATGGGACTGATATGCAATTATGGGCAGTGTAGTCCACAATTCCCCTAAAGAACCCAATCGTAAAACGTACGGTTTGTATAGTGACGATTTAAGGTTACTTGGTAATCAATGAAAAGGTCATCAAGTGAAAACTACGCTTATGTGCCACGGAACGATGTCACCAAAGTATATACGTTGAAAAGCATTTCATTTCGTTTCAGTTTTCTTAGCAAAGCGGTGCTCTACATCCAAAAACTAGAACACTAGTGGCCACTGGGACAGAATAGTACTTTTGTTGGAGAACAATCGTAGTGCTTCATCCATACTTCCTAGAGGGTTGGTGTCATGGTTACATAATTAGTTTCGTTCAAGATCACGCGGTTCAAATGACGGAATGCTAGCAAAAATATCAACGCAGAATGAGATTTTAAATTGAGGTCAATTCCGCAAAAAGATTTTTTTTTTTTTACATTTTTAACATATTTAGCATGTTCGTGAACCACGAAAGGGAAAGAAAAAAGAGAATAATACGCCATCTATCAGTGAGCGAGCGCACACACCAATCATCATATCCCCTCGTTCATCGACACCAATCGAGACCCAAAAGGAGAAAAAGGAGAACTACTATGGCGATGTACCTTCTTCCGGCCCTCCTTGATATATAAGGAACTTCATTGACATGTGTCAGCCTCTTTTACACATTGGAAAGCCCATCAAGCAGAAGAATACGTGGAAAGTGGAAATTGTATAAAATAGTGGATATTGTATTGAACGTTGAAGTATTGTACGCAAGTGTAGGCTAGTGAAATAAAATTGAAGTTTTTGAATTAGTTTGAAGTGAAATAAAGTGAACTTTTTTACACCGTTGCTACTCTCTGTGCTACTCGACATATGGTCCTTCGAGCCGGATACGTCGATACTCCGTATTCCCGGTAGTCCTGTGCTAGTGAGACGCCATCATTCAACCGCCATTGAATTACGCTAGAAAGTTCCAGAAGGTTTCACGAAGTCCGTCGTATACTTACGGCCCAGAATCAACACCTATCAGCAAATTTGAACTATTCAAGGCATTTGCATTGCCTCGAGCAGGTAATTAGCATTTCAACCAACATACCTACCTGCCTGTGTGTGCTCCGCTTGTCCCATTGTCCACAGATCCACTTCTATCGTCGCAATATGTCCAGCGATCGCCGTGTAAAAACTCTCAAGATGCGGCTGAAGAGCTTGATAGCATCACTCAACCTCATCAAAACCTTCGTCGATGACTTCGATGAGGGTACGCAAGCTGACGAGATTCCCGTTCGGCTAGAGAGTCTAACCAAACTTTGGTCGGACTATAATACCGTGCAGAGCGAGCTGGAGACACTCGACGAGAGCACCCTCGACGCATACCTGAAAGATCGTATGGGCCTCGAATCGTCCTACTATCGAGTCAAAGGTTTTTTGTTAGCCCACAATAAATCCCCGTTAAACCAAACCATCCCAAATAGCAGTCAATTTGAGGCACAACTCCCTCCGTCGACATCGCAGGTGCGATTGCCGGACGTAAAGCTACCCGTTTTTGATGGAAGACTCGATAATTGGCTCGTCTTCCATGATTTGTACGTCTCGCTGGTCCACTCTTCGGCTGCTCTGTCTAATATTCAGAAATTTTATTATTTGCGGTCATCCCTATCAAATACGGCCCTTCAGCTTATTCAGTCGATTCCGATAAGTGCCAATAACTACCCGGTGGCATGGAATTTACTCTTGAAGCATTTCCAGAACACGGCACGACTGAAGCAGTCATACGTGGACGCACTATTTGACTTCTCTGCGCTAAAACGTGAGTCAGCTGCGGAACTACACAACTTAGTTGAGAAATTCGAGGCCAACGTAAAGGTTCTTCAGACATTGGGGGAACAGACACAACACTGGGACATACTTCTCATCCGAATGCTTAGCATCCGCTTAGATTCAACAACAAGGAGAGACTGGGAGGAGCACTCGTCTTCTAAGGAAGTCGTCGAATTTAAGGACTTGACGGAATTTATCCAGCGACGTGTATCAGTTCTGCAATCTTTACATACAAAGATCATCGACAATCTGCCGTGTAATCAGATGAAGAAGCTAGCTCAACGTTCCGTGTCCAGCCACGGTGCCAATCAGATCAGTCCTAGAAAGTGCCTCGTTTGTTCAGATCATCATCCCCTATACTCGTGCGGGAGTTTTGCGAAGATGTCGACCGAAGACAAGGACAAGGAAGTACGTCGTCATCAGCTTTGTCGAAATTGCCTGAGAAAGGGTCACCATTCTAAGGATTGCTCATCGTCTTCCAACTGCCGCAAGTGTCGTGGTCGTCACCACACGCTACTTTGTCACGAATCATCCTCTCCATTAACTTCGAAGTCTCTCAGCCCTCAACAATCAAAACTGGTAGAAGCGTCTCAGATAACTGATTCTCCCACTACTTCTGCGTCCGCAAAAATAATCGAGTCGGTCAGCTGCTCCTCTGCTGGCCACAAACAGCGAACAGTTCTTTTGGCTACAGCGGTCATCATTCTTGTTGACGACAACGGCGTCGAACACATGGGACGTGCTCTGCTGGACTCGGGAAGCGAGTGCTGTTTTATAACGGAACGTTTCTCACAACGCATGAAGGCTCAGCGAAGAAAGATCTACCTTCCAATCAGTGGCATCGGCCAATCATCTACACAAGCCAAACAGAAGTTCACTTCCATCGTTCGTTCACGAGTTGGTGAATACAAGACCAGCGTAGAATTTCTTGTTCTTGCCAGCGTCACCATAGACCTACCATCTACGTCCGTCGACACTTCGACGTGGGACTTTCCACCTGGCATACAACTTGCCGATCCATCGTTCGATAGCACCAACCCGATCGACATCATAATCGGAGCCGAGATATTTTTCGAGTTGTTCCGAGTCCCCGGCCGAATTCCTCTCGGGGACCATCTTCCGGTGCTGGTAAATTCAGTATTTGGCTGGGTAGTTTCAGGAAAATCCACCGTTAGCACATCCAATCCTCCAGTTGTCGCGAACATCGCTACCGTCACAGACGTTCATCACCTCATGGAACGGTTTTGGAAAATCGAGGAGGAAAGTTCACCTTCCACCTACTCCGTTGAAGAGCAAGCCTGCGAGCAGCATTTTTGTCAAACCGTGTCACGTACCACAGAGGGCCGATACGTAGTTCGCTTACCTTTCAAGGAAGCCGTTCTTGAGCAACTTACCGATAACCGTCGGACTGCTGTCCGTAGGTTTCATCTGCTACAAAGTCGTCTAATCCGGAATCCTGATCTACGCCAGCAGTACAAGGCGTTTATAGACGAGTACCTCGACCTTGATCATATGGAGCGGATACACGACTACGAAGAGCCAAACGTCAAACGCTTTTATCTGCCACATCATGCAGTGCTTCGCGAAGACAGCACAACCACGAAACTACGGGTCGTCTTCGACGCTTCGTGTAAGACTCCTACAGGGCCATCATTGAACGATGCACTAATGGTTGGGCCAACCGTTCAAGAAGACATACGGTCAATCACAATGCGTTCCCGGAAGCACCAGGTCATGATAGTCGCAGATGTTAAAATGATGTATCGCCAGGCTCTTGTCGATCCTCGAGACACGTCAGTCCAGCTCATCGTATGGAAGCCTTCTCCAGACCAGCCGATGGAAACCTACAGGTTAAAGACTGTCACGTATGGCACTGCTAGTGCACCATTTCTCGCAACGCGGGTATTAACTCAGTTGGCCAATGACGAAGGCTCTAATTTTCCTTTAGCAGCTCCAGTTCTGAAGAAAGATTTCTACGTGGACGATCTCTTTTCCGGAGGCAAAACCGCAGCGGAAGTAATCGAGCTGCGAAACCAGCTAGAAGGCCTCCTAGCAAAGGGTGGTTTCCAGCTACGTAAGTGGGCCTCAAATGATGAAGCTGTCCTTGACGGGATTCCACCTGAAAACCGTGCCGTGCAGACATCAGTAGACCTTCACCGGGACCAGGTAATCAAAACGCTCGGTCTCTACTGGGAGATATCAACTGACTGCCTGCGCTACAAAATTGAATTGCCGTCGGACTCAGCAAATCTACTCACTAAACGGCTCGCCCTCTCGCTTATTGCACGCCTCTTTGACCCGCTCGGCTTAGTGGGTCCAGTTGTTACGACCGCTAAAGTGTTCATGCAAAACCTTTGGACCTTGAAGGACGAAAAGGGAGCACTTTGGAGTTGGGATCGTGAACTACCAAATGAGTACCAGACGCGATGGATCAATTATCAGTCCCTGCTGCCAAACTTGAACAATCTCCGCATCAATCGCTGCATTTTGCTACCTGTACCTGAAACCGTCCAAGTCCACATTTTTGCCGACGCCTCACAACTCGCCTACGGTGCCTGTGCTTATGTCAGGTCCACTAATACAGCTGGGTTGGTTAAAGTAGCTCTACTCTCTTCCAAATCACGGGTTGCACCTCTCAAACAACTCAGCATTCCTCGACTTGAACTGTGTGGCGCTTTAATGGCAGCAGAATTATACGAGAAAGTAAAATCATCGCTACAACTCGACGCAGATTATTATTTCTGGCTCGACAGCACCGTCGTACTGTGCTGGCTTAACGGTTCGCCGTCTGAATGGAACACCTTCGTCGCAAACCGTACTTCCAAGATTCAAATTACCACCCAGAACTGTACGTGGAATCACATTGCCGGCCTGGAGAATCCAGCAGACTGCCTATCTCGTGGGATGACTGCACATGCGATACTTAAATTCGATCTCTGGTGGCATGGGCCACAATGGTTACACCTTCATCAACGTCACTGGCCGGTAGGAGCTAGCAAATTTGATCAACCATCTGCGGCAGTTCAAGAAGCACGTCGCGCATCAGTAGCAGCACCATCAACTCCGAGCGAACCATCTTTTGTCGACCTGCTCGTCGAAAAATTTTCCAACTTCCTGTCCCTTATCCGGATAGTTGCTTACTGTCATCGTTTTATTCGAAACTGCCGAACTGCACCAAGCGAACGACCGAAAACCTCACTCCTCAACGTCGATGATCTAAATGAAGCTGAAAATAGTATCATCCGATTAGTTCAACAGCAATCGTTCAGCGAAGAATGGAAGCAGCTGAAAAACAATCAACCAGTGTCATCGAAGTCCCGTCTCAAATGGTTTCATCCCTTCGTATCTTCGGAGCAGCTGATTCGAATAGGTGGAAGGTTAGGAAACGCACTGCAACCATATGACGTCAAGCATCAAGTTCTTCTTCCTCGATCGCACCCATTTTCGCTTCTCTTGATCCGTAGCTACCACGAAAGGCATCTTCACGCCGCTACCCAATTGCTTCTAAACCTACTACGACAGCGCTACTGGGTCATCGGAGCCAGAAGCCTAGCCAAACGAGTGATCCATAGCTGCGTTGTTTGCTTTCGAGCTCGTCCAAAAATGTTGGAGCAATTTATGGCAGAATTGCCAGCATCACGAAGCACTGCGAATCGACCCTTTTCCACCACAGGAGTGGACTACTGGGGACCCATCTTCCTCAAACCCACTCATCGACGAGCTGCACCAGGAAAGGCTTACGTGGCAGTATTTGTATGCTTCTGCACCAAAGCGGTGCATCTAGAATTGGTTTCCGACCTGACCACAGCCAAGTTCATCCAATCACTTCGTCGGTTTGTATCTCGCCGAGGATTGTGTACAGACCTATACAGCGACAACGGGAGGAATTTTCTGGGAGCCGCTAATGAGTTGAAGCAATTAGTGAACAGCAAGGAGTTCCGGAATGCCATCGCTCAGGAATGCAATGCACAACAAATTAGATGGCATTTCAATCCACCCAAAGCGTCAAATTTTGGTGGTCTGTGGGAGGCTGCCATACAATCGGCTCAAAAGCACTTCATTCGAGTCCTCGGAAAAAACAGCCTTCCGTATGATGATATGGAAACCCTTTTGTGCCAAATTGAGTGTTGTTTGAACTCGCGACCACTTGTTCCACTAAGCGATGACCCATCGGACTACGAACCCTTGACACCAGGACATTTTCTTACTGGATCCCAACTAAAATCTGTTCCTGACGTCGATTACACCGGAATTCCTACAAACAGGCTCTCGAAGTGGCATCACGTCCAGAAATTGTACCAGCAGCTGTGGAAGAGGTGGCATCTGGAATATCTTTCCACTCTGCAAACTCGTTCCAAATGGCTCCATCCTCCAATCCAAGTTCGAGAAAATGAACTAGTTCTTCTTTGCGACGAAAATTGTCCTCCGATGCATTGGCGGACGGGCAGAATTCAGGCAACACATCCCGGTACCGACGGCGTCATCAGAGTGGTTACTGTCCAAACACCTAATGGTCAATTCGTCCGTCCGGTGAATAAAATCTGCCTTCTACCAGTAGCATCATCATGCGACCAACAAACAACAACCGCGAAGTAAACACATTCACCAAATAGATCGCAACAACACCTGATCCAGTACCAAACATCCAACGAGGACAGAACATCCATAATTGCACCTCACATCACCGTTGCATCATTGATCCAGGAGCACCTAAAAGAAAAGAATTAATTAAAGGCCTGCTTTCAGCAGGGACAAGGTAAGCCTCTGTCCAAAGCATTTAATTTCAGCGAAACGTGCTACCGGGTCTTATCTGCATTTCAGACTAATGAACAATGTAATCGTTTTGACATCGCCAAACCAAAACATCGGACTTTCATCGATTCTGCAACGCACTGTCATCAGCATCGTCATCATAAGTGTCAGAAACAGCGTTCCTGACGGGGCCAGCATGTTCGTGAACCACGAAAGGGAAAGAAAAAAGAGAATAATACGCCATCTATCAGTGAGCGAGCGCACACACCAATCATCATATCCCCTCGTTCATCGACACCAATCGAGACCCAAAAGGAGAAAAAGGAGAACTACTATGGCGATGTACCTTCTTCCGGCCCTCCTTGATATATAAGGAACTTCATTGACATGTGTCAGCCTCTTTTACACATTGGAAAGCCCATCAAGCAGAAGAATACGTGGAAAGTGGAAATTGTATAAAATAGTGGATATTGTATTGAACGTTGAAGTATTGTACGCAAGTGTAGGCTAGTGAAATAAAATTGAAGTTTTTGAATTAGTTTGAAGTGAAATAAAGTGAACTTTTTTACACCGTTGCTACTCTCTGTGCTACTCGACATAGCATTTTTAACACCGTAAAACTCCTCCTGTCGTCTTCACTAGGACTTGCCTGACCCGTCCATCGCGTCCTTTCACAACTGAGACAATCCGTCTTGGTAGCCACCCGTTCCGGATCGATTCGTCAACGATAATGACTGGGTCTGCGTCCTTCGGTTTTGCTTTTGCTTCCTCGAACCATTTTGTGCACTTGCAGAATGTCGGGAGGTATTCCCGTACCCAACAATGCCAAAACTGGTCAACCAGGCTTCTCGTTAGCTTCCAGTTGGTTATAAGGCACTCTGGATATTCTAGCATCGGTTGTGGAGGCTGAGCAGCCCCCTGAGAGCTCAGAAGCAGAAAATGATTTGGCTTAAAGGCTTCTTGGGCTTCTTGGGCTTCTGACTCAACTGGGACAAACGTCAAAGGACGTGAATTGACGATACCTTCTGCCTCGATCATCAGTGTGACGTCGTCGGGGTTCCTGCTTGTGTTTAATGAGACGAATGCGACCTTAACAGATCTAACTAGTCGCTCTCATGATCCTCCCATGTGCGGAGCGGATGGCGGATTGAAGATCGATGATAGCTGCTGGTTCATTTCCGCTATCTGTTGCTGCAACTCACGGCTAGCTCCGAGGAATTTACTACCGTTATCGCTCCTTATCTCTAAAGGTGATCCACGGAACCAACGAATAGCCATCTTGCATGTTTCCGCGGTCAGGGAGTGCACTACCTCCAGATGGACTGCTCGAATGGTAAGGCACGTAAACAGTGCCACCAATCGTTTGACTTGTGATCGTCCGAATTTGACCATAAGAGGGCCGAAATAGTCAAGGCCGAAGAACATAAACATATACCGCATATGTTCACCGTAGCCTAAACTAAACTTCAACTTATCATTGACTTAAATTAAACTCAACTTGATATTATCTTTAACAAACGTTCAACTTTATTTTAACTAAACTTGAAATTGTAAGCTAAACTTTGCAATTGAAGAAACTTCACTTTAACTAAAGCTTCAACTAAACATAAACGTAACTTTAAATCAACTTTAAATTAGCTTTGAATGAATTTTAACATAGCAAGAACTTCCAAGTGAAGTGATTCTTGATACTTGCAGAAGTTTCAAGAAGTATCAAAAACTTCCAAGAACTTCCAAAAAATTCCAAGAACAGTCAATAAATTCCAAAAACTTTCAACAACTTCCAAGAAGTCCACGAACTGAAGTTTTCCCGAATTTCCATGGAAATAAGATTAATATAACATAAACTAAACATTTTTTTAACTTACAGCTTTATCATTACTTTAACAAATATTTAACCTAACTTTAACTGAAAATTAACTTAACTTTAACTAAACCTTCGCTTAACTTTAACTTAACAGTGTCTTTATTTTAATTCAACTTGAGTATACCTTTATCTAAACTTTTACATAATTTTACTTTGTAGGAAATTGGCAGGACTTCAGGGTAATTCACTGAACCTTAGGAAAGTTTGTAGATCTTCAGAAAATTGCAACAGAAGTTCAGGAAACTTGATGATGATGATGATGGTCCCACCTTTTACCCCTACAAAGGTTTGAGCTGGACGATTTTATCATAAGATAATTAATTATGACATTTTAACCAGGTTTGCAAACAAAATCAAACTGGTTACAGTTACAGTTATAAATTCCCACTAGTATACAGTTATTTTATAAAATGTTAAAATAAGTGCTCTATATCTGTATTACGCGCGCATAGCAGCAGCGAAAGGGTTGAAGGCGAATAAAGCTCCCAGCCCGGATGGAATTCCCAACGTGGCGTTGAAGGCGGCGATCCAGACGTTCCCGGACATGTTCAGGATGGTGCTGCAGAAATGTCTGGACGATGGTCAGCTCCCTGATAGATGGAAGGTACACTTGCTGGATACTGTCGAAAAGCTCTTGGAGAGGATCATCCTGAACAGGCTGACGAAATGCACAGAAAGTGAACACAGATTGTCGGAGAGGCAGTTTGGATTCCGGAGAGGGAGATCGATGGTGGATGCAATTCGGACAGTGATTGACAGAGCCGAGAAAGCTTCCAAACAGAAGCGGAAAGGAAACCGATATTGCGCCGTGATTACGATTGATGTGAAGAATGCATTCAATAGCTCCAGCTGGGAGGCCATCGCCAAGGCACTCCATAGAATGAGGGTTCCAGACTACCTCTGCAAGATTCTAAGTAGTTACTTCCAGAACCGGGTCCTGGTCTACGCGACAGACACGGGGCATAAATCGCTTAAAATCACGGTGGGAGTTCCACAAGGCTCCATTCTAGGTCCCACGCTGTGGAACGGATGTACAATGGCGTGCTGATGCTCAAGCTGCCCAAAGGAGTTGAGATCGTTCGCTTTGCGGACGATGTCGTCTTGACGGTTACCGGTGAGACGCTGGAAGAAGTGGAAATGCTGGCGACCGAGGCGATAGATACGATTGGTAACTGGATGCAAGGAGCGACGCTGCAGATAACCCACAACAAAACAGAAGTGATGTCGGTCAGTAACTGCAAAGCAGTGCAGCGGGCAGAAATCACCGTTGGAGAGCACACCATTGTTTCAAAGCGCGTGCTGAAGTATCTGGGAGTGATGCGATGACCGGCTAAGCTTTAACAGCTACATCGAATATGCTTGCAAGAAGGCGGCGAAGGTCATCAACGCAATAACCAGAATCATGCCGAACAATTCTGGTCAAAGCAGCAGCAAGAGGCGTCTTCTGGCTAGTGTGTCCTCATCGATACTAAGGTACGGAGGTCTAGCCTGGATTGAAGCGCTGAAAACGAAGCAGAACCAAAGGAAATTGAGCAGTACGTTCCGGTTCATGGCCATGCGAGTCGTTAATCCGTACAGAACTATTTCGATGGAGGCAGTATGCGTTATCGCCGGTATGATCTCAATTGGCATCACCTTGGCGGAGGACTACGAGTGCTATATGACGAGAGAAACCAGAGGAGTACGAAAAATGGTGAGTACGAAAAATGGTGGCAAAGTGGCAGCAGGAGTGGGATGCAGCAGAACACGGTAAATGGACACACAGGCTTATACCGATTCTTTCGTCCTGGGTGAACAGGCAGCATGGAGAAGCCAACTTCCACTTGACGCAGTTCCTATCTGGTCATGGCTGCTTAAGGAAGTACCTGCATCGGTTCGGACACACAACGTTACCCTTCTGTCCGGAGTGTGGGAATGTGAAAGAATCACCAGAGCACGTGGTCTTCGAATGTCCTAGATTTGATAATGTGCGAGAGGAGATGCTCGCCCTTAGCACGGAAAATGTCGCCGAAGAAATGTATCGAGAGGAGGGTACCGTTAACGCCGTCAGCAGAGCAGTAACGCAGATCATGTCAGCACTGCAGTGAAAATGGCGAGAGGAACAGCTAGAAAGTAGTAATGTGCTCACACAATTACGAACTGAAAGCCGAAGCCGAAAGAATTCTTCGTCAGAGTAGGTTGAATCCACCACCGGGGTTAACCGAATAGAAAGCGACGCTGGAAGCTAAATGGCTCACAAATATGATCGACGATCAGCGAACTGGAAGTGCCAATTGGCTGAGGTAAATTGAGGTGCGTAATTCTCGGCCCCCTCCAAAGTAATATGACAAGTGGTTCCGGGGAAAAAGGGCAAGGCGTCCAAGGAGGTTTTAGTGCGGTAGGAATTCCACAAACCGTGTCACAGCGACTGTGTGCCCAGTCATCAACTTAAGTGTAATCAATAATCACGCCAAGATATTTAATCTCCCGAACGTGATCAATAGTCTCATCATCAATTACAACAGAGACGTTCTCATTTACTCGATTCCGCGAAATTACCATAAATTTAGTTTTACTTGTATTCAATTTTAACTGCTTATACTTCAACCATCTACTTAGAAAACGCAAATCTTCATTCAAGTGTAAAAAAGCTTCATTTAAATCCTTAGCTGCAATGAATAACACAGTATCATCTGCAAAAAGATTAATGTCGCAAAATCGTAAAACACGTCGCAAGTCATTAATATACATAATAAATAACAGGGGCCCTAATACACTTCCCTGGGGCACTCCAAGGGTATTCCCCACGGGACTGGAAACAGAATCATTAAAAACAGTCCGTTGAGTTCTGTCAAACAAATAGCTTTCAAACCATTTATATGCAGTACTCGTAATTCCAAAGCGCTTGATTGATCTTAACAATAAGGACCTAGAAATTGTTTCAAAAGCGCGTTTAAGATCCAAAAAAAAAACAGCAACAATCGTATCTTTACACTCG